ACACACACACACACACACACACACACACACACACACACACACACACATATACTTAAATAAAAATAATAAAAGTAAATATTTAGAAATGTCTAAAAGGCCACTGTGCCTACCCCAGTGGGTAAGCAGTAAATGTCTTGTGAAATAGGTTGGTGCAGAACTTTCCCTAGCAGAATGACCATATGACTGATACCCCTATGAGGAACCAAGACTCCCTTGAGGTTTATTTGGGACAGAGTGTGGGAAGGATGAACAGCCACATGCCCAAACACTGCCTTGTGGCTGGACCATCAGCCCTGTCAGGGTAAAACAAAGACCCTTGTCCAATCCTTGTGACCACTGAAGGTGATTTATTTTTTCCTGAGAAAGGGTTCCTCTGTGTAGACTCGGCTGTCCTGAACTCGCTTTGTAGACCAGGCTAGCCTTATACTCACATAGATCTGCCTGCTTCTGCCTTACTGAGTGCTGGGGCTACAGGCATATACCACTGCACTTGGCTGCTGAAGGTTATTTTAAAGCTCCAGAGTATTGTCATCTGTTAATAAGACCAACTATAACCTGCATTAGCTTTTCTTTGACTACTATGATCATATATTTGACAAGAATCCACTTAATGAAAGGTTTGTTTTTGCACTCAATTGAGAGGCTGTAGTCTGTCATGGCAGGGAAGGGGGCATGGCACCAGGAGTGTGGGACAGCTGGCCACATCACCTCCATAATCAGTAAGTAGGGCAGGATAAGAAACCCCAAGCCCCACCTTTAGAAAACCCATTTCTTCCAGCTAGGCCAGATTAGTTGGAAATCATGTATTCAAACATGTGACCCAGGGGCCCATTTTGTATTCAAACCACAACACAGGACTTCTTCATGGGGCTGTTTCTAGGTGACCCGAGTTGATCATCACCCTGTTTCACATTCTTCTGGATACCTTCAAATACTATAATCTTCAGGTTTGTCTGAAATCCCCTTTGCAGTCCAGGGTAGAAACCATCTTCAAGTGCTCTGGTGCCTGACTCTGCCGTGGACTGAACTGATTTTCTGCAGTGGGCAGCCCCTCCCAGAGCCTTGATGATTCACATCAGCATCTCCCAGATGGTTTTTCAAAGACCATAACCATGCACCAAAGATAAAATTTCACTGTTACTTTATTGATGCACTGAGTAGAAAGCACGGTGAAGAAGAAATACATGACAGGTTAAAAACAAACAGCCATCATCGTGATTAACTGAACTTATTTTAATAGATAACTATTTGCTTCAGAGATAGAACTTTGAGACAATCAAAAGGTCCATCTCAGCATTGCTTTGAAACATTAGTCTCTGGATATTACAGGGGTTTGTGTGTCTAGTTAGATACCACCTTTACAGTTCCAAGGCATTGGGTATTATAATTTGGCTATGCATCACAGACACAGGCTGTGCTACCCAGCTTACCACTGGACATACCGATTATATCAAACTGTCACCATCTAAATCCAGCAACTAATCTTAACAATAATGCTATGGCAGCAAGAGAGCAATGAATGCTCACAGGCCGTAAAGCGTACTTCACATTACCTTCTGTGATGTATTCCGGCCAATGACACGAAATCAAAAGTACAGTCAGGACTGCTGTTGTCACTTTAGACTACAGGAAATTAAAAAGACAAAGAAACAAGCCAGATGAAATTTGAAGCAAGCAGATGCAGAAATGAAAAAGTGGAACATTCTTAGTGATGGCAGAGTTATTCCAAGAAATCACTGACAAGGAAGATACTGAAATGGACTTAGAAGGCACAACAATACGACCCTACTCCAGGTCCTGTTTTAGACAAACTAACTGTAAAGCTGAAGTCCTTCTGAGGCAGAAAAACCTCAATAACTATTTTGTTAAATATTACAATATTGCTTTGGAAATGTTTTCATGTAAGAATGCTTTCAAAGTGCACACTGAAAATGACACACAGAGCTAGAAATGTTGGGACAGAATACACAATGGTACATCACATGAATAACCCAACAAAACACTCCTGGTACCCAGAAAGTGTCATGGAAGCTTCCAAAGAGGGAGGCAACCAACAGTCTTACCCAGCTATGACACCTATGAATGCCATCAGTGATCAACAAAGAATGGTTAATCCTAAAGGTGCAGTAATGGCATGCATACCTCGGTGGTAACCAAAAACTCTCTAATGGGACTTCACACCCATTCAACAAGAGGAAAATAATAGCTCGTGCTGAAAACCTAGCTAACTACACAGTGCCGGTGAAGTCACGATTGCTGGAGGAGAATCTACAACCACCAATTCGCTAGGCCAGCATGAGCCCTAACAACAATCTATAAACATTTGTCCTTATACCCACACATAAATGTAGTCTTCACCCCTTATCAAGGAGACTTCTCTCTGCAAGAGACCACTATAGAAAACCACAATCAATCAAAATGCAGAGTTGTAAGCCCAGTCCAAACTAATACATCTACAAAGCATGCTCACATTTAAAATTCAGGGTCTTTGCCAAAGAGAGGGGGATTATAAGAGCCAGAGGATCAGGAAATTGGCTGAGACTGTTGTCTCCTAGTATATCAGAAGTTACATCCAAAGCTTCTGATACATCATACCAACATGAACTCAACAAAGATGACACCAATGAGCACGCCAAAATGGAAATGGAAAAGCCTCCACTCCACACAAAAGAACTCTAAATAACTTAGGAAAGCTGGGAATGGGAGAGGTAGTCTCCCCCAGTGAAGAGTATACCAATTGGTTGTTGAGTGTGCCAAATGATCAGCTCTGAAAACATACATGCAGATTGAGCTGTTATATTTAGGAATATATATGCATATAAAAATACATACATTCAGGCAATAACAATTAGTGAAAAGAAAGAGGTATAAATTTGAAAGAGAGTGGGGAGGGGTACATAGGAGGGTTTAGAGGAAGGGAAGGGAGAAATGTTTTAATTAAGTTATAACCTTAAAAAAAAAACTTCTGGTATCTGGTTCAATTCATGAAAATACATTAAATAAGCCTTGTCTACACACTCAGCCCTATTAGACATGTTGGGGATGTGACGGAAGAAGCTGGCACGGGTAAGAACTAACCCTCACTAAACAGAACAATCTTGTTTGAAATCATGTAGTACAAAGTGAAACACCTAAGACAGGGAGGAGGTGAGGGTTGTGAGCTGAGAGCCAAAAGATGAGATCAACTCAAGAAACTGGCCATCTGTAGAGGTTTTCTAACACCCACCGACAGGGATCAGCTAGCAAATTTTGCCCACAATTTTTTCTTCCTTTGCATGTGAAGTTAAAATTTCCTTATTCTCCTTTTGATCTATTTATTTATTTATTTATTTGGGGGGGCAGGAGTTGTGCACACACATATATACTAAGGCATTTAGGGGGTGGCACTGAAGGGCACCTAAATGGGAGTCAGGTCTCTTGTTCCAGCAGGTGGGTTGTGGATATGAAATTTGGATCCTCCTGCTTGGCAGATACTGCCTTTATGGGCTCAGTCCTCTCTCCAGCCCGAAGATTTCCTTGCTTTAACGCTATCTTTCGAAGTACTCCCCCAGAATCATTACAGTATGTGAATATTTATCCTTTTCTACATTCGAAACTATTAATGTCATCTTCTGCTTTAGCTGCTAGTAAAAATAAGCCGTATTCACATTCTGAGGCTTAATCTTTTCTGCATTTGACTAGGTCAGAAAACGTTTACTGTGGAAAATGGTTCATGCTGGTATTTTTCAAATGTAAAGCTAAATTCAGATCTAAACACTTTTTCTAATATTAATACTGCCCTTTTCCTAGCATAATAGCAGGTTAAATGTGATGAGTGAAAATCAGCATGAAGGAGGAGGGATAACTCTTTGTCCTTCTGTCCACATTATCATCATTCAGGAAGTCATAACTAAGCCTTGATTTTCATCACCATGTGGTTTTTCAAAGACTGTCCTGAGGTGGCCACAGAACAAACTACGCCCCCTATCCACCCCTACCCCCCCCACCTCCATCCCACCCCCTCCTGCCTCCTGCCCAGGGAACAAAGGGCAGCCTGAGACTGGAGACTCCCCAGTGCTACTTCTGCTGCATTGTGAGAACAGGAAAGTAGCAACAAGGGCTTCCAACCTACCTTATTCACACTTACTGACACTCACTGCCAGAGAGGGACCAATTGCAGAGATGTGATCAATGTCTAGGCCAGAGTATACATACAGACATCACAAATTGGACTCACAGGGCTATTTAAATAAATAAATAAATTAGGGCAGTGGGGGTTAGGATGAGAGAGCAGACCTGGTAGAAGCTGGAAGCAGGGAAGAATTAGAGGTAAATAGAATCAAAGTACATTTTATGAAATTGTTAAGGAATATTTTTAAATATCATATAAAGAATTTTAAAGTATGAGAGAAGAGTCAACCAGATAACAAACATAGAGAACAGGTCCAGCAATGACAAGATCTCTACCAGAAATTTCAAGAGGCAAACAGACAAAATAGAGAACAGAGATAGTAAAAGAAATAAAAAAAAAAATATCTGCATAATTTGAAGATCTTAGTCATCAAATGCAGAGAAGAAGATGGAGAGAAAGGAGATGGAAAGGGAAGGGTAGAGAGATGACAGAGATAGAGATGGATATCACTCTCTGCTTAGGCATGATGTGACATATCTAAGTTGGAAGATGAGAAGAAACGCTTAAGCGGTTTAGGAAGGAAAAAATGTGGACTAACAGGAAATAGAAGACTCAACTCTTACTGTATTTTGCAATGACAATAATCTAAAAATAAAACCTTAAGCTGGGTTTTAAAAATAACAGGGATAAACTACTTAGAAGAAGCATGTCTAAAATAAAATAGAACAGACAGGGCTTCATCACTGTGCAGGAACAAACTCCTTTAACAAAATCCAGGAAGGATTCAGTAGCAACAGTAGCATGTCAATCTGATAAACACTTCCCCTAGATCCTAGAAGAGAAAAACACAAGGGAAAGGAAAGTGAAGGCAGAAGTCTCAGTGGAAACCAATACTATCTGTGGTGGCTTAAATTGGAATAGCCCCCACAGGCTCCTATATTTTAATACTTAGACATCAGGAATTGGCACTACTTGAGAAGGATCCAAAGGTGTGGCCTTGTTGGGGATGTGCTTTGGGGCTTCTAAAGCCCAAGCCAGTTTCACTGTCTTTTTCTTCCTGCCACCTATGGATCCAGATGTAGAACTCTAGGCCACTTCTCCAGTACCATGCCTGCCTGTGAGCCCATGGACTAAACCTAGACCCAATTAAATGCTTTCTTTTGTAAGAGTTGCCATGGCCATGGTGTCTCTTCATTACAGTAATAGAACACTGGTTAAGACACTACCCAAAACCATAGTCAAAGAATATTCAACACTTTTAAATTCCTAAGAGAAGAAAGACATGTATTAAAAAATGAAGTTCTAGTAACCAATGGCTGCTTTTCTGTTTTAAGTTAGTTTGACGCAACCTTACAGCAAGTTGCAAACCACCAGAGTTCCAATCTGCTCAGAGAAGTTTTGCAATGCTAGCAACAAACTTCCAGTAACACCTGCCCTAGAGAACTGTCACAGCCACAGAAGGGCCTCTTAAATGAATACCTTCTTGGTGGGACATTCATTGATAAGTGGCTCCTTGGACCTGTGTACTAACAGCGTGCTAGCCCAAGAGTTGCACCTGTGTAATTTCTGAAACTGTTGTCAAAACGGATTCACCCACACCACTAGAGAAGTGCCATTCAGCCCCAGTATGCAGATTATACCAACCACAAAGAGGATGGGCAGATACAGGAGTCTAGGGATGAGCAGATGGAGGAGTTCCGAGCCTCCCACACAAGAACATAACATGGAGGCCTCTTTGAATTGCCCAAATCCATTGCTAATGGCAGCCGCCTGTGACACTAAGTCAAACCCACGTTTTCTCAGGGTGCTCCAATCACAGGAGGCTCAGATGACAGGACAAGGAGCTACAAATAGTACATGCATCTGCATTCTGTGCACATGCCAGCAGCAGTCCTAAGATGGGACTCGCCTCTATGTGTGTCCTCTGCGTGGATCCAGAGAGTTGTCCCTAATGGAATCAATGTAGCCACATCTTCAAGGCTGGAATAAAAATCAGAACGGAGCCCACAACTGAAACTATCAGAAAGAGCCACAGGAAGATGCGGTCAAGAACTTGAGCCACAAATTTCCAGTCTTGTACTACCTACAAAAAAGAAAAAGGGCATCTTTCATTCAAAAGGCTGAGCAGCTTTTCTGAACTCATTAAAGACTGTAAAAAGAGCAATATTGGATTTAGGTCACTTTTGAGTTTTCAAAATGTATCTACACATCGCTGATGGCATGGGCTCAGATTCTGTCTAGTGAGGTTATCATTGCACCCCAAGAATATAGCTTGCAAGTTCAGCATTTAGGAACACTTATCAACAGTGAAGATGTAAAACAGAAACTACAGAAGCATTTGTACACTTCAAAATATTACTGATCAAAAAATGAAAACAAAAAACCCCTGATTTGTATACAATGCTTCCTGATAGGGCTATAAAACCAATCACAAATTGCTATCTTTAGAGCATTTGTAATTGTCACAGTGATAAACTAAAGCTTAACAATAGTTCCACCAGATTAGCTCATAACCTTAATTTGGCCTAATGTTCCTTGACCTAACCAAAACATCTTCTTGTTCTAGCTTGGAAATTCCCCATCATGAGGCCCTCTTTTGGAAACTCCCTGGACTCCAATGATGTTAGACCTGGCCAATTAGCTTAAAGGTTAGAGAGCACTGTTTTGTCTAGAAAGCCTAAATGTTGCAAATGCGCCTGTTTGTGGTTGTTCCCATCCAAAAACTGGCTCTGAGAGGTTGGCTTCGGAGTCCTGGCTGTGTTCCTGATTAATGAGTCTTGAGGTGTACATTCCATAAACCATCCATTTCTGACTGAGATTGGTGTCTAAGTGGTTGGTGCGGCTATTCCTGAACCCCAACTACAGGACTTTCCTCCTATTCCACAAGTAAGCAGGGCTCCTTATAGATCCAAAAGACAGCACTGAGGAAGAGGGGAAATGACAGGTGGGACAAGCATTATAAGAAAGGAGTCTATGGAGTCTTTAATTAGGCAGAGATGCTGGGAGAGAACGGGTACCACTGGGCCTGGAGCAGCAGGCCCAGGAAATAACAAGCCGTGAGCTAGGGAAATCTGCAAGAGAAGCATGGGAGCTCACCTTTCAAGGGACATAGAGTTCAGAAGAAAAAAACCTAAGCCCCAGGGTGGCCTTTAAACCATGTAAATAAAGAAACCAAGACCCTTTAAATTTTTCAAAACTCAGCTGGACACTCTCAACTATGTCACCTACATTAACTCGTCCACCTTGCCTCACCCAGCCATGTGGCCAACTATCCTCCCAGGTCCATAAAAAGCGTCTCTCTTCCCCTGGAGGAAGGCTTTTCTCTTTTCCCTTCCCAGAGTTCCTGTCTCCCTACCAGGAAGTCCTGCCTTCTGTTTCCTGTTCTTCTGCCCAGCTAACTGGCCAATAATTTTTATTGACAGCCATTATGTTCATACAAGACATTTCTCTATAGTACGGTTTGTACACTTGGCCTAAAGCTTATAGCAGTTTCACAGAAGCTTCAAAGTATGATCATTAGAAGGCAAATACAGTTGGATAGTGGGGGCACATGTCCCTAGTTAGGGGTACAGTGGCTGTCTCAGATATGAACTCAGTGGCAGGCTCTTTGATCGCCTCCCCCAGGTGGGGCGGGGCGCAGCCTTGTCAGGCCAGAGGAAGATAATGATGCAGCCAGACTTGATGAGACCTGATAGGCTAGGGTCAGATAGAAGGGGAGGAGGTCCTCACCTACCAGGGGACTAGGGAAAGGGCATAGTGGGAAAGGAGGGAGTGTGAGTGGAACCGGGAGGAGATGAGGGAAGGGGCTGCAGCAGGGACACAAAGTGAATAAATTGTAATTAATTAATTAAAAAACTATAGCATAAAATACACGGGCAAGATACAGGAAAATGTTAAAATGTTAACCCTAGGTAGTGGGATTATTCATGATTATGATCCTCTTGTCTTCATTTGCGTTTTCCAAATTATCTATGTCATTCATATTTAAAAACCCTCTTAAATGTTTATATTGGTATTTACAAAAGATGTAAAGAAATAAAACAGGAACTCCTTCCCTGACAACTAAAGTACATTCATAAGACTTGGTGTTTTTCTAGTCTTTATTTTAAAACAAAATCTTTAGTTGTGTAAGAAAATAAAATAAATAAGAGAGAAATCAGAGATAACTCAGAGATAAATCAGGCTGAACCTATGAAGACAAGATAAAATATAAAGCATATTTCAAAAACACTGTCATAAGCCTGTTTGTGAGCCTTGATCTAATTTTTAAGAATTTTAGAGTAAAATGACTGAGGCCCGTAGTTGCCGTGAAGACAAAGGTTGCCTTCAGCCTGTGTACTGATGGATTTTGTCATTTCTTCCTTGTTGTGTTCTTCAAGGTTCCAGAAAAAACAAAGTTCTGGCAAAATAACATGTCACATGTGTGCTCAGGATGGTGGTGCCTCTGAATCTTAGGCATTTCTGGTTTTGAGACAGGATCTCTCTGTGTGAACCACATTGCTCTCAAACTGCTGGCACGGCAGCCCCGGCTTCCTGAGTAGCTAGGATTCCAGGATTGAACCACCCAGCTTCGTACTTTTTTTTCTGTAATGTGTACAGTATGTAACCAGATCCTCTTCCCTCATTTAACTACCTGTTATAACTGATTTTGTATTGCTTTTCAAAGCTTGGTTCTCTCTAATCACTAACCACTGGGTTTTAAAACATCATAGCATGAAAAGGTGTCAATTACCATAGACCAGAGTAACCCATTCAAAGGGGTAACTGAATTCTGTAAAATGGAAGTGAGGAATCATGAGGAACAGTGCTGAATCTGCAGCTGCTCGCTTTGAGTGGTTATACTTATGTGAACTTTTTTCTAAAACCCTAATGCTAAAATTCCTCTGGTTTGCTGGGCTTGTGTTGCCTTGTTCCGATACAGAGAGCAGCTGATGTCACCATTGTAAACAAGGACCGTACTCCATTGCGCCAGACACCACCATGTCTTTCTTGTGCACACCTCAGTGACAGCGGATCCCATCACAGCATACTCACCTGGCTGATGAAATGTTCCTTCTTGACATGCCTCGAAATGTATCTGATGGACTCGGCGGCCTTTTCCAGGAAAGTGACCAGAACCCTTTCTCCATCTGTAGGAGGCTGTTTCTTTTTCCTGGGGACTTTGCCCCTCACTGCTGCTTCACTCTCCTTTCCTTCAGGGAAAGAGAAGCGGTCCATGGGGTCCTTCATGCAAAGCCATCTTGGGAGTGTTTGCAGAAACAGCCTCTTCACCCAGGGGGCCATGGGATGGTATGTTGAAGAAGATCTGTGGTGCACATTAATTACAAAAACTGTGACGATAATTGACAGGGTGACAAAAATCATAATGAAGAGGAGGTACTCGCCAATGAGAGGGATGACTTTTGAAGAAGACGGGATTATTTCTTCAATGACTAAAAGAAACACTGTCAAAGAGACCAAAACCGAGGTTGATAATGAAAGTTTTTCCCCTTCATCGGAAGGTAAGTAGAACACCAGGACTGTGAGAAAAGACAGCCCCAGGCAGGGGATTATCAAGAAGAGAGTGTAAAACAATGGCAGGCGTCTCAGAACAAAGGAGTAGGTAACAAAAGGATAGGAATAGAAACCTTCTCTTCTGCTGCCCTTCATCCCCTTCGCGTTTAGTATCTCCCACTCTCCATTATCAAAAAAGTCTTTCCGATCAACATTTTCATTGATCAGAACAAGGTCAACCATGGTACCATCGTAAGTCCAGGATCCAAACTTCATTGAGCAGTTCTGCCTGTCGAACGGGAAAAACGTGACATCCATGGTGCAGGAGCTTTTGTAGCTGGCAGGAGGAGTCCAGCTGACCATGCCAGTGGATTTCACAATGGCCTTAGTCATGAGGGAGCCTTCAAAACGCCCATCAGCACTGCCATGAAAATAGTTACTTTTTAGTGGATGGCTGAACAGTCACTGTTTGAAAGTTTTCCCCGACTGTCTACCGTCTATGCTGCATACCTTTCCGACCATGACGGCAAACAATACAAATAAATCACATTGATACATAAAGCTAGTTATCCTGCCCAAAGTCAGACTTTGTGTATCCTTTGTTAATCTGACCAATGCAGTATTCTTCTAGGATACTTACTTTTCAAAGAGAACTATGTCAGGAAGCCACAGCGATTCCGATGGAACCTTGATCGAGTTAATGCCACCATATTCTTCAGGATTCCAGCGCAATTTTTGATCTGTCCATTCCTGCATGAAATGAGTATGCAGCAACTTTATTCTGAAAACTTAGTACTGTAGAGCTCAGGATCTTCAAATTTCTTCAACTTATCAGCCCATCATTTCATAATGCAATTTGCACCCAGGTTAGGACCTGGCATCTTCATCCTGAAGTGAGTGCAGCTTCAGGATACAATGTAACCCAGCCTGGTCTCTGGACCTCCACATGCCCACAGATGAGCCAGTAAAGAGGCTGACCACAGAGGGCATTGATTCCTGATTCATGTTTTTACCCTTTTCTCTTAAGAATCGAACAAGAAAAGCCACAGCTGTGTGGGAAGGTCCATGCCACTTGTCCCAGTTCTTGGGAAAAGTAAGCCAAGAGGACCATGAGCTCAAAGTCAACCTGTTTACCCGGTGAGACCCTTACTAAAAAGTAGTAGCTATCTCGTTCAGTTTATTCCAGGAGGATCTGTCTATTGAGATGTCAGTCTTTTGACAATGGGAACGTTTGATCCTGGCCTGCTACTGTGAAGTGCTCACTCGGCACCTGCTGGCCATGCCTGGTGGCATTGTCACTTCTGTGCAGTGAGAATGGGCAGAGATGTCACTTTTATAATGTATCTAAATTGATTTTTTTTTTTGCAAGCTCCTAGTTAACATTTTAAATTATGTCCCTAGTATTCTGGGCCTCTATGTGTTTAGTTTTTCTTTCCAGGTATTAGAAGGGTATCCCCAGTGTGAAGCCTCCTGGAGCCCGGTGATGCCCTCTCTGTCATTAAAAAATCAGGAACTGGCAGATGGGGGACTTAACTGGATGGTAAAACATTGAAATATGTACGATGCCTTAAAAAGTGCAAATCTCTTTCTAAATATGTTCCTACCCATTCGTTTGTGATGCTCTCAACAGTGGTCAAAGAAACCTTGTTTCCAGTAGAAAGTGGCCAGTGCAAAGAGCCATCCGTAACTGTCGAAAGTGTTCAGAATAAGTGACTATGAGTGCTCAGTGGTGGTAGAAAGAACATTATTATCAACCTCCCCAAACCCTGCCACCCCACCCACAGCTCAGGAAGAAACATCACAGAAGAGGGAACAGAAAAAGCCTAAGAGCTGGAGGTCAGGGTTGAAAGTGTTTCCTGAACATGACAGGACAAGGCACTCCTGAACTCATGTAGCTCTGGTGTGTAACACAAAATGTGCACAAGATGAAGCCAGCCAATATTCCTGTACAGATAAGGACGGGACGCCCAAGCTCCCACCCCACCTGAGTAGCTACTGACAATTGATGGCTGCTAAGGGAGAGAGTATGTTTTCTTTAGGGATATGGTTCTTGATAGCTCAACCTTGCTCCAGAGATTGGCCCAACACCCATACCTGTAGAGGTACCACTAATCAGACTCAGAGAGTTATGAAAAACAAGAGGGATGTTTTTACAAGGACATAAAACTGGGTTGGGGGGAATCCTGCAAAGTGTGGAGAAGTGGGAGATGAATATAAATAAAATAAACTGTATACAAGTATGAAACTCTCAAAGAATAAATCAAAAGTATTGTTAAAATAACTTTGCCTTAGATTTCATGGAGTAGGAGATATGAATGCTTGCTTTGGTGCATTTACTCAAACTATCTTTTTTTTATTATTTCCTATTATTTTGGGCAAAGAAGCTTAGGCGGATTTGTTCTGGGCACAAAGGACACATGTCTAGTTATAGCTGGCATTTTCATCTATGTGTTGCTTCAATAAATACTGATTTATCATCTCTTTCTTAAAAAAAAAGTTCTAGAATGGATAGAGGAGGGGCCCCCGAGGCCCCACTCCCAGCTGGGGAACCGTTGGCAATTGACGGCTGCTGAAGGATGGAGAGGGGTTTTTCTTTGTAGTGTTGCCAGGTTATGTTGTTTACACCCCGTTGGATGGTCCCGTACCTGTGCCCAAGTGGGGAGAGCTACTTAGATCCCGTGAGTTGGAGGTATTTTAAAATAACAAACAAGCAGAGGACGTGAAGCTGGAAGTGTGCTGGGAAGGCTGGATAGAGTTGACGTGGCAAGTGGGGTGTGGATGCATCTACATGAAGTTGAAACACTATTTTCTTAAAAAAATAAAATAAACCTGAAGCTTCTCAAAAATAGCAGGATCTCAGCTAAGGTTGCATCTCTTTACGTAAAGGAAGAAGAAGAAGAAGAAGAAGAAGAAGAAGAAGAAGAAGAAGAAGA